GGAGGCTCCTCAGCAGGGGGAGCATCACCAGCAACAGGAGTTTGCAGAGCCACAACTTAGGAGATCAGCTAGAGAGTATCGACTATCCACAAGATATCCTCTTTCAGAGTATTCTTTGCTAACAGAAAAGGGGGAGCTAGAAAGCTTTTAGGAGGCACATACTCATAAAGATAATGACAGATGGTTCCAGACTATGAAGGAAGAGATGAAGTCTCTTGAGAAGAATGATACTTATGCGTTGGTGGATTTTCCGAAGGACAGAAAAGCTTTGAAGAATAAGTGGGTGTTCAAGTTAAAGAAGGATGGCTACAAAAAGATTGAGAAATATAAAGCCAGATTAGTGGTGAAAGGCTTTGGTCAGAAAAAGGGCATTGATTTTGATGAGATTTTTTCACCGGTTGTGAAGTTGACGTCCATTAGAGTTATATTGGGGTTAGCAACTAGTTTAGACCTCGAAATTGAGTAGCTTGATATGAAGACTGCATTCCTTCATGGTGATTTGGAGGAGGAGATCTACATGGAGCAGCTGGAGGGTTTTGAAGTGAAGAGAAAAGAACACATGGTTTGTAGGTTGAAGAAGAGCCTCTGTGGTTTGAAACAAGCACCCAGGCAGTGGTACAATAAATTTGATTCTTTCATGTTAAGTCATGGTTACCAGAGGACAGTTGCAGATTCGTGTGTATATTATAGGAGAATTTCAGATTCTAGTTTCATTATCCTTTTGCTTTATGTGGGCGATATGTTGATTGTTGGTCAGGATAGTCAAATAATCGGTGGGCTGAAGAAGGAGTTATTTAAATTTTTTGACCTGAACGATTTGGGCTCGGCACAGCGGATTCTTGGTATGAATATTGCTCGTGACAGGAAAACTAGGAAGTTGTGGTTATCATAGGAGAAATATATTGAACGGTTACTTGATAGATTCAACATGAAAGATGCCAAGTCAGTCAGTACTCCTCTTGTAGGTCATTTGAAGTTTAGCAAGAAATTTTGCCCGACTACAGATGAAGAAAAGAGTGAGATGGAGAACATTCATTACACTTCAGCTGTAGGGAGTTTGATGTAAGCCATGGTTTGCACTCGGCCAGATATAGCTCATGCAGTTGGCGTTGTGAGCATGTTTCTTTCTAATCCAGGGAAAGTTTATTAGGAAGGTGTAAAGTAGATCTTAAAATATTTAAAAGGCAGTTCCAGATTGTGTTTGAGTTTTGAAAGTTCGAATGTAGTATTACATGGTTTTGCAGATACGGATGTGGCAGGTGATCTCAATCACATAAAGTCTACCGCAGGTTGGTTGTTCATTTTTGCAGGGGGAGCAGTATCATGACAGCCCAGGTTACAGAAGTGTATTGCTTTGTCTATAATAGAGGTAGAATATATTGCAGTTACAGAAGCCGGTAAAGAGATGATTTGGTTGAGAAGATTTCTGCAGGAGTTAGGCTTACAGCAGGACAATTATCAAATCTTCATTGATAGTCAAAGTGCTCTTGATTTAAGCAAGAATTATACATTCCATTCCAGGATGAAACACATTGATGTGAGATATTATTGGCTTAGAGAAGATGTTTAGAAAGAGGAGCTGAAGTTACGAAGATCCACACAGATGAAAATCCAGCAGATTTTTTAACGAAGACTGTTTCCAGAGAGAAGACCGAGTTGTGTCGGCGATTAGCCGTCATGAACTCCCATTGAGGAGTTAAAGATAGGCATATCCCCTCCTTGGGCTGGATGGGGAGATTGTTGTGTGTCCAACCGAACATAAGGAAGGCCCAGATGAGGAGGTCTACATGAATTAGAATTCTATCTATAAGAAGTCCACATGGATTAGAATTCTATTTAGAAGAGGATTTGGATGATCTATATGTTTGGAGAATTCTATTTTAGAGAACCCTGAGATTAATATTTAGAAAAAACAATTTTTGGGTGAACAGTAATCGACTGTGAATAGTAATCGCTATAGTGTTAAGAGGAGAGAGAAAAGAAGAGAAAGAGAAAATTTTAGATTCTGGATAGAGCGGGTGTCCGATTGCAGTGACTCAAAAGTCGTTGTCTTTAGAATGACGACGCCGTCGAGGGTACGATGCTGATTTTTCCGCGGGAGTAGGAGATTTTTGGTGAGACTGGTTTTATGGTTTTGGTGCCCTAGAGGTAACACTGTATCTTTCTCTTGTGATTTAATCCTCAAGTTCTGGTGTAACTTGGAGGGATTGTACTCTTGATTCATAGTGAAATATTTCTCTCTGGATTGCCCATGGACGTAGGCATGATTTGCCGAACCACGTTAAATCTTAGTGTTTGCTTGCTTGTGATATTTTTCGATTTGCCGAACCATGTTAAATCTTAGTGTTTGCTTGCTTGTGATATTTTTCATTGGTGCCATTATTCGTTTAGTATTTAATTCTGCAGATTAATCTCCTAAAAATCCCCAACAGTAATTGTTGTCTGTGGATAACTCAACTTCAAAATTTTGAAAATATAGTAGCAAGTCAAATATGAGACGTAATTTTCCTCTATAATCTGTGTATGGGTAAATTCTCGCAATTTTAATATAGGATAAATTACTTAAAGTTTTAACAGTTATATTAGTAGAAACACAAACATGAAAGACATGCATGTGTATATAAAATTTTTTGTAGACCAAATTGTCTAAGAAATTTTAAGATTAAAAAAAAGAATAAGATGAATTTTTTTGAGAGAAAGGATGGATTACCATAACAGTAATCCAGCCAGCTAAATTAATAGAACTTGGTTGTCACATAATGATACACATCCCCAACCAAGAATGTGTACACAAATTCAAACAAGTTTTACAAAACAAAAGAACACCTACTCCTTGAGAGTGCTTTATCCTTTCCCAAAAAGGAGAAGAATAAGATGAATTTTAGTGTACAAAGTTCTCCACTGTACGTATTGATGGATGGAATATACCAATTTTCCCTGCATCTCTGAAAATCTTTATTTACATTTCATAGGCAAAGGAGCTCTTATATATGAGGTCACTGAAAGGGATTTTGACACAGATTTTAAATGGGACCTGTAGATCTAACTTTCAGGACCTTTATCGTGGAGGCCCACATATGGTTGGGCTCATCATTTTAAGATTATAAGTAGAATTAAATCATATCCTTAGTATAGCATGGTGCATATGTCGGGTAAAAGCCAAGCAAGAAAAAGAAGCATGACAATTTAAAACTACATTCTATTTTTCTAGTCTTCAGTGTCAAGAAGAGAGCATCTATTGTTGTCCTTGAAGACTGATTCAAAGATTTAATATTTTGCTGATTTTTCTGTATTTTTTTGTTAGCTAAAATTTTGGTCTTTGGTTGTTATTTTGTTAGTAGAGTAGTTGCTAATAAATCTGAAATTAGTTTAGATTTTTATAGTGATTAAGTTGTTTTGTAAGCCTATAAAAAGGCACTTTCAGTTTATGAATAATATGTAGCAAAATCTTCTCTTTTTTTTCCAGCATGGTATCAGAGCTCCAGTTTTCTTGGGTTTGTGAGGATTCAAAAAAATAGAGTGATCAACCTTTGTTTTTAATGGCATCCAACAATTTTGCACTTCCATACCTCATCCTCATGGAGAGATTGAGACAAGTGCTCAATTAATATTTGTGGAGAGATGTGCTCCTTTAAGAGAATGTTGGTGATTTTGTGCATAAAAAAGATAGAGATGAGAAGTGCATCACAAAGTAAAGAGAAGTGTTTTACAAGATTATGGAGAGAAGTGCTCAATGAAGATTCAAGAGGAATGACAAGAAACTTTGAATCAAGGGGGAATGTTGAAGACTGATTCAAAGATTTGATATTTTGCTGATTTTTCTGTTTTTTTTTGTTAGCTAAAATTTCAGTCTTTGGTTGTTATTTTGTTAGTAGAGTAGTTGCTAATAAATCTGAAATTAGTTTAGATTTTTATGGTGATTAAGTTGTTTTGTAAGCCTATAAAAAAGCCCTTTCAGTTTATGAATAATATGTAGCAAAATCTTCTCCTCTTTTTTTTTCTAACAAGATTTTGCTACATATTATTTATAAACTAAAAGTGTCTTTTTATAGGCTTACAAAACAACTTAATCACCATAAAAATCTAAACTAATTTTAGATTTATTAGCAACTACTCTACTAACAAAATAACAACCAAAGACCAAAAATTTTAGCTAAAAAAAAACCAAACAGAAAAATCAGCAAAATATCAAATCTTTGAATCAGTCTTCAACATCTATATGACTCCTTAGCAGCTCCATTTGGTTATTTAGGATAAACATTTGTAATTCTCAAACCAGTTCTTATATGACATTGTTTTTTTTACAATGAGGGACTGTCAGAAATTTATGGGCGAGTATAGTTTCACTTTGGAAGAATTAAAAAAATAATAATGAACTTATTACAAAGTCAAGATGAATACTTGGCCTTTTTGATTAATATGTTTCTCAACCTCTATTTAGGACTTGCTACTCCACCCTAATAAGTGGTAACAAAGGGTAGAATATGGAAGGGAGGAGAGATGATCCGAGGTCTAGTTAACTTATCAGAACGTCTCCTTAGCCCGTAGATGATAGAAAATCCTAGAATGATTGTAGTCATATTCAGATTCATGTTTAGCGGTGTCGACCAAGTCAGAAAGATTAAGGTTAGTTCACAGATGGTTGAACATTCTATGGATGTTGATATCCATGTTGCTACTCCATGGTTTCAGATTTTGTCCAAATTTAGATTGACTTTGTATATATGGATGACTGATGACATGCCCAAGATTGTCTATGGGGGGACTAAGGTTTGATTAGTACGTAGATGTTGAAAGATACCCTATAAATGTTGGTAGCCATGTTTTTTTTTTTGGTAAATGAAAGTTTTTTTTATTCATCACCAATCTGTAAAATATGTGTACATCAAGAATCTCACATTTTTGAGATATCAAAAACAGAAACCTGTTTCTAAAGCTCAAGAAAAGTGCTGAGCTTTTGTAAACCTGTATCTAACCTGGTTACATTTGTGAAACTGAAGTCATAGTGATAACACCCAGTTTTTGCTTTCGGCATCTATTTTGCTGTTTATAATTGTCGTCATCAAGTCCACCTTAATCAGTTTAACTAGCTGCTCAACAGTCTTGCATTTTTGATTGAAAATTCTCACATTACGCTCCATCCATATGTTATAAATTGATGAAGTAAAAGCCATTCTTTTGACACTGTGTTTGAAGCTTTTCCCCAGCAAACTGAAACTATACCAGTTTAATAACTGGTTCCAATCACAGCACCTCCACTTGAAACAGAGCCAGTCCATTATTTTGTTCCAGACATCCTGTGAGAATTTGCAGTCAAAGAATATGTGATTCCTACATTCAACTTCAGCTCCTGAGCATAAGATGCACTGATTAGTTTGAATTATCCCTCTCCTAATCAATTTGTCTTGCGTTAGAAGCCTATCTTGGACAGCTAACCAAGAGATAAAAGAGTGTTTTGGATAATTGAAACCTCCCCAGATAGTAGTACTCCATGGCACTCTGTTTTCGGTTGGGGATAGAGCAAGGTATAATGCTGATAATTTTATCTTTGAGTTCCTGCAGCAAGACCTAATTAAGCTTTGAAGATTCTCCAAACTTCCACAGAGAGCTACTGCTTTTTTCCTGGCTTTTAAGAGCTGCTTCCACATCCATGAGTCTCTAGTTTTTACTTCCACTTGCCATATATTTAAGTTTTTAAGATATGTGCCATGTACCCATTTGATCCATAACAGCTCCTTATTAGTGTGAATGTCCCAAATTGTCTTCAGAGCTGCTTCCATGTTCCAGGTTGTAGAAGAGAAAATTCCAAGACCTCCATACCTTTTTCTTAAGCAGACTTTGTCCTAGGATACCAGAACTGTTTTTGTAGAATGGTCATTCCTCCCCCAAAGAAAATTTCTACAAAGTTCATCAACTTTTTTAAGAACTTTGACTGGAAGAACAAAGCAAGAGGTCCAATATACTTGTATGCCCATAATGACCACTACAACAGAAAAGCTAATCCGCGAGGAACAAGTTTGTCGTTGAAAGTAGAGATTTTCTCGTCGTAGTGTGTTGGCGAGGAAAAAACTTTGGTCACCATTTCCTCGCGGTAGAGTGGTCAAGAAAAGTTTCTGCGAGGAATATTATAATTTCTCGCGAAAACCTTTTTGCGATGAATATATTCTTTTCTCGTTGTTACACTTTAGCCTCGATATTTTTCCTCACCTAATCTCATATCTTTTTCATCGCTAAACTACAGTTTCCTCGCCAATGATACGTGAATAATATTTAATTTATATAATAAAAGTTTTAAAAATACTATTTTTGTCGTTGTAAGTATCTTTCAGCGAGGAAACTCTTCCTCACCAAAGGTAAATCTTTAACGAGAAAATTGATTTTCTTCATTATATGTATCTTTTTCTCGTGGAAACAATTCCTCAGTAAAGGGACTCTAAGACGAGGAAATTTAAATTTGTCGTTGCAGGTTGTACCCTATATTCCTCGCCAAAGAAATTCAATTACGAGGAAATTTACATTTATCGATATAGGTTATATGATCTATAGCGATGAAAATTACTTTTGCCATTATAGGTTGTATCACTATAGCGAGGAAATACACTTTTGTCGACGTAAGCAGTATACTCTATAACGAGGAAATATTCTTTTGACGATGTAAGTATGTAGCCTATAGGGAGGAATATTACTTTCGTCATTGTAGATTATACCGCTATAGCGAGGAAATATGTTTTTGGCGAAATAAGTTATATACTCTATAACGAGGATATATACTTTTGACGACGTAAACATGTAACCTATTGCGAGGAAACATATTTCCGTCACCTTAAGTTGTATTGTCTATTTTGAGGAAATTTATTGTATTATCTATTCCGAGGAAATTTACTTCCATCGACCTAAATATATAACGAGAAAACTTATAATGAGGAAATTTTATTTCATCAATAATAATGATATTACGAGAAAACACTCAAAATATAAATAATTATCATCAATTGTCACCACAGTACATCAAAACAATTAAAATAAATAAAGCAAGCAAGTTTTTACCATAAGTAACAATGCTAGTCTAAAGCAATAACAAGTGCAACACGATCAAAAAAACATTTCTCCAAGTTTAAGTTCACTAAGAATACTAAGCTGATGGATGTTGCCTGAAAAAATTAGCCATAAACTCCTCGAACTTTTTGGCTTGCTCCTCCAATCTTTGGATTACCTTATTTTGTGCATCAATCTTTTGTTGTTGAGTTCCTACAAGTTGTTGGGTCTCTTGAAGCTGTTCTTGCAAGTCTTTATTATTTTCAGACATTTCACTCATCGAAGAACGAGAGAACCTTAATGGTGGTGGTCTAGGGCCAAAACCACAGCCTTTAATGTAGCCTGATTTGACTTTAAGAACTTTTGCATAAATTTCCTCATCTGTCATTGTTCGAGTTCCATCAGGTTGAGTGGTATATGCTCGCATCTTTATCATTTGATCCTATAAGTAAAAAAAATATATCCAGTTCAATCATATGCAACTTCTTAATTACAACCTAATCAATATAATCCTCTTTAGAACAGTAATATCAGTTTCACCTATATTCTTAAAATATTATAAAAGCATGCATCATTGACACGTTACTTACCAATTTTTCCTTTGCTCCTAAATCCCATCCTTTTTTTGTACTTCTATACTCTGTTTCAAAACGATCAATTGCACCTTGCATCTCTCCAGTTTGTGTTGCCTATTGCATTCAAACATATTTTAATTTTCAGCATTTATATATGTACACAATTAAGTTACAAATTTATAAGCAAAACTAAAAAGTGTTTTAAAATTTGCTCTTGGTGTGACATAAATGATTTTGACCCAGCTTTGTGGTGATATGTCAACTTTGACCTATTAAGAACATTCTTCTCAGAGCGAATCTAAAATTATTAAGACATACAGTTAGAAAGAAGTAAATGAAAAAAGAAAAAATATAATACGTGGAGAAAAATAAAAAAAGATATTGTACCTTAAACTTTTCACTAGAAAAATGAGTGCAAAGAAACTCCCATTCTTCCTGAGTCTTGACAGCTTCATATTTGTTTTCAATTGCCTCCTCAATTGTTGAAAAATGCTTAAATGTTTCAACTAATAGCGAAAATTAAATATATGGCCTGACATGTTGTAATTACATATCTCTGGACCCAAGGGAGCGACATGTCAAATTCAAACTTATTCTGTACATGCATAATTTCATGTCAAACTAAATATAAAAAATCAAAGCAACCAATATAATGCCTTTAGCAAAACAAATCATCACTAACCTGCATTCTTTTGATCAAGTTCTTCACATCTGCTTTTTCAATCTTCTTCCATTTTTCCACATTCAGTGGGGCGTAGTTTCGAATTGTGTAACCAATTTTATTTGCAAACATCTCAGCATAAGGGCCTGTAGATCTTCCATTTTCTTCAGTCAGAGTCACAGGTATTTTAGAATTCAATTGGGCTTAATTCTACTAAATTCAGCTCAATTTAACACCACTTACTAGTAGTAGTTCGTTCTGTGGTGACAACAGTACTACTAGAATTCAGTCCATTTGCTACAAAAGTTTGGCATTCTTGATTGGAAGTTTGCAGACGAGTACGTTTTGTACCTATTAGCATACACACTTGTTAGATAAGTAAAAACTAATAGTACTTAAATATTCTAGTAGTAAAATGAAGATTGCATATTTACTCAGATTAGAACCGGATCCATTCCCTGCAGAATTCACGTATGGCAGATCACTAGTTGCTGCATGAGAACGTTTCTTTTTCAATAATTCTACATGTGATTGATTACTTGGTGCATTACCTGTTGTTACATAAACGTTAAATTGATAATAATATTCTAATCAACCAAGTGAATGAATCATGAATTATAAGAGAAATATACACTACTTACCAAAAGTAGAAATCTGAACGGTAGGCGCTTTGTTACGGTACATCTTCTCACTGTTTATTATTAAACAATTAGAATGGTCAAAATGCAAAAGAATGTATTCTTGCTAATGATTGTATCTTTTTCTGGCAGGGCAACTGATAATCAGGTACGTGAAACTTTTAATTACATCTCCAGAAATGCATATCACAGAAATTCTCTTAACTGTAAACCAACTTTTCATCAATACATCTCCAGAAATGCATATCACAGAAATTCTCTTAACTGTAAACCAACTTTTCATCAAAGTAGATTTGTTGGCAAGGAAAATAGAAATTCACAGAAATTCTCTTAACTGTAAACCAACTTTTCATCAAAGTAGATTTGTTGGCAAGGAAAATAGAAATTTAAGTTAATGCAAAATGATTGTCCATTGGTCTGTCAACTGAGTTACTATAGGAATTAGAGGATTTGTTGAGATATTATCTAGCTGATAACTATCATTGTAATTGAGGGTATACGTCTTTTTCTATAATCTCATTTCCCAAAATAATTTTAGTTTACAACACATGAAGTGAGAAATTCCAATAATCTGGACTTGGAGTTGCCATATAAACTAGTGTAGTTGAGGGCTCAGTGGATAAAGTTCATATAACACACCCTTTCGAACCTAACACAAAATAGTGCAGGCTAAAGAAATTAAATTGTAGTTGGCAAGGAACTGTCACTCACTGAGAAACAAACCCCAATGGCTCTCCAAAAAGAGAACAGAATGTGGATGATAATGACAATGTTTGCAAATAGAAACTGCATTTGTCTCCCATGAACCGAACTCACCCATAACTCGTGATACTTTATCATGCTTTTTACATCAAAAGTGGATTCAACTTTGGAACACTCTTATTCAAAATGAAGAGAAGGGAAGGGCTTCCAATAATATGTGCTAAAAAAGGAGATAATGTTGTAAGAACTGTCATAATATGATAAGATTGTAAATTGGTGAATTTGGGGAAAAAATATCCTACCTCCAAAGCTCAATTAAAGAATAGCAGAGAAATCTTGAAGATGATTTTTACGCGGCAGCAGAAGCTTCTATGCTAAGTAGAAATTAAGGAAGTATGTCGGATTTTGATGCAGGGTTATGTAAATGTGTATTTTAACTTATAATAAATAATCAGGCTAGCCTGATGCAGGTGTTGTTTCGCAGCATCCAAAAATGTTTTTAAACCATTGGTGAAGTTAGGGTTGTGAAACCTATCTCTAACATACATCCAACTTCTGTCCATCCTGTACCTATCATCAAAAACAAGGGGTTCCCCCGATTATTTACTTAACATTAGCAATTCAAAGTTAAGAAAGATATGAGGATTAACCCAAACAAGGGAATTTTCATACAACATGTCCTAGCAACTTAATAACTGAATAAAGAAAAAAGACAACTGCATACTATATGGAATTAAGTTTAGTTTGTACACAAAAAACAAATTAAACCATCCGAAAATACACTTTCAGCCATACCAGAAAATGCTTTTGCTTTCTCTGCTATGCTACAACCAAACTCACACATAGATCCTTCACAGTCTCTAGTTGAATGATGTCTGCTAGAGGAGACCTTCAAAATGAACAAACATAGATTTGCTTTCCTGATCAACCAGATAATTCCAAGCTAGCTACATGAAAGATAAAACACAGAGTATGGTACAGCTTCATAATATCACTTGAAGATAGACTTATACCTGTATGTGAGTTTAGATTGCGAGGAAGGAATAATTACATGGGCTACTGGTATACCAGTGAACGAAGAACTAAGTTAAGCTCCAGTTAGATGATTAGCCTGACCAATACACCAACAGCAACAATGAAAAATATATAGATATTTCAAAGTAGCAAATATGAAGCATTTGTCAATTGGTTTGATAGAAAAGCCCATTGTCAGTGAACTAGGATTTGAAGTCCTACATGTTAGGTAAAAGAGTAATCCCACGATATAATAAATGAAAAATTATAATAATGAACACTAAATGTTTCAGAGCACAGAAAGTGGTGACAAGATAAAAAATAATAATATATACATGTGATGCTTGTCCAAGGATCCAAGACTGCCCACACTTGAAACTAAGTAAACATTACTCTCAAGTCTCAAACCATCTATTAATCAATAGAAAACTATGCTTTATATTAGGTGGAGTACAACTGCTTTGCTAAAATTCTAGGCAGAAACTTTTTCTAGGCAGAAACCAGGATGCACATGACTCTTCAGAATTCTCCATCAGGTATTTCACTTGGATAAATCTTTCATTGGTCCTATACTGACCTACGTGATACCACAAATTTTTAATACTTAGTGCGAAGTCATTATTGGTGTTCAAGCTTTTTGGTTGACAGAGTTTCAAGACGCATCAACCCAAAAGAACATTCAACTTTTAACTTCAGAAAAGATTAATATATTCATTTCATTATAGGGTAGTAGAGTTATGACAAGAAAAATGAAGATCTGACCTATTTACTCTTTTTTCACCAAGTAAGAGCAGCATGCTTCCATCCAGAATAATCAATCTCCTTATACATATTTTGAAGAAAACGAAACATGCATGCAATAAAATGTCATTAGCCAATATAACCAAAATTACAACAAAGGCAGTACTTTTACAGCCCAATTGATTCCTAACAACTTTGAATTCTTCTCTACCAATACATGTGCATTCGACAAATTTGTTGACCCCACATACTCTCTAACTATTGTTATGCTAAATAGCCAGGGACTATGACATGTATATACAGGATTACCCAATTGGATTGAACTGACATGATTCAAAGAACTTTTGAGAAGAAAACTTTATGCGCTCAAGAATTAATGATTGGTCAGGATCCATCCAATTTGTAAAAATTAAATAAAAATTAAATACAAATTAGGGCTTTGTTAACAAAGTTAAATAAAAATTTGTAAAATAGATAAAAAGGAAAAATTGAAACCCTAGAGTTTGATGATTGAAAAGGACAGAGATAAAAACCCAATCACTGGATGCTAGAGAGGGGATGGCCTTGAAGTCGACTAACAAGTGGCTGTCGAACGAGGAAATTAAAGGTAAACGAGAGGCGGCGGATCTACAAAAGCGCTAGGTGGGCGAGAAGAGGAGGGAAACGAGGGCGAGAAGGTCGGCGAGAAGGAGAGGCGGCGGAAGTGGGGAGCCGAGGAGAGGAGGCTGCGATTTTGCTCAGGAGAGGTGAGGTTGACGATAAAAAACCTTAGGGCTCAGCGACAAGAGTTTTGGGGTTATTAATTTTGATATTGGAGGCCGCTCTTTTATTTGAGTACCCGCTACTTTTTAGCCAAATTCCCACTAAAATTTTTGAATAATGAGTATATTATTATTTTCTCGCTGATTGGTTTTTTAATAAGAAAATGATTTCTCGCGGGACAAAATCTTTTAGCGAGGAAGCCTTAAATTTGTCGACATTGAATTTGGCGGGTTTTGCATATATTTCCGGTAAACTAATAATGAAGAAACTAATATTTCCTTGCTAATTTATTCTTTTAACGAGGAAAGGGTTCCTCGTAAAACAAAAAAAATTTAGTGAGGAAACTTTTAATTTGTAGTTAATGAATTTGGAGGGTGTTGCACATTTTTCCGCCAAATTAATAATGAGAAAACTATAATTTCCTCGCTAATAGGTTCTTTTTGACGACAAAACGGTTTCTCGTAAAAAAAAAAAATTTAGCGAGGAAATCTTAAATTTGCTGCTATTGAAACTAGCGGGTTTTACACATTTTTCCGCCAAACTAATAATGAGGAAACTATTATTTCCTCGCTAATTGGTTTTTTAACAAGGAAATAGTTCCTCGTAAAACAAAAATTTTAGCGATGAAACTTGTAATTTGCCGTCAATGAATTTGGCGGGTGTCGCAAATTTTTCCACCAAATTAATAGTGAGGAAAGTATAATTTCCTCGCTAATAGGTTCTTTTTAACGATGAAACGGTTCCTCATAAAAACAAAAGCTTTTAGCGATGAAGCCTTAATTTTGTCACCATTGAAATTGGCGGGGTTCTTTTTTTCCTGCCAAACTAATAATGAGGAAACTATTATTTCCTCGCTAATTGATTCTTTTGATGAGGAAATGGTTCCTCGCAGATTATGGATCTTCAACGAGGAAATCATACTTTGTCGCTGTTACATTTGGCGGGTTTTCCTTTATTTTCCGCCAATAGAACAGCGATGAAATGATTATTTCCTCATTAAATATGCATTTCGCGATGAAAAAGTTCATCACCAAAATCGCATATTTCCTCGCCAATAAAATAACTAGTTAGGAGACCAAATCATGATCATCTTTAGTGAGGAACTAAAATTTTCGTCGTAGAAGGTGGTCTACTGTGAGGAAAATATATTCCTCGTAGAAGACCTACTAATATTTACCGAGGAAATAATATTTTCTTCGTCGAAAGTGATATTTGTTGAGGAAAATTAATTTCTCGCAAAAAAATTGGTCGCTAAAAGACATGTCTGTTGTAGTGGACACTTTTTATTATTTGCAATCTCCCTGCATAAGATAATTTTTTAGCCTTCAAGCAGTTCTGAAGTTGACTGGAAACTTTGTTGAGAAGAGGATTGCAATCTTGAAATGTTAGCCGCTTGCACACAAGTGGCATTCCCAGATATTTGATAGGCATTTTACCTTCACAGAACCCCAGGTACTCTTGAATTGTTGCTTTAACAGATTCAGCAACTCCACCATAGAAGATAGCACTCTTGCTAGAATTAGCCTCAAGACCAGAAGCTTGACTGAAGTTGGTGATACATTGTTTAAGTTTCTGTATAGAGGGAAGGTCTCCTTTGCAAAAGAGTAATAGGTCATCCGCAAGTGATACATTGTTTAAGTTTCTGTATAGAGGGAAGGTCTCCTTTGCAAAAGAGTAATAGGTCATCCGCAAATATTAGATGAGATATTTTTTGCTTCCTTTGCAAAAGAGTAATAGGTCATCCGCAAATATTAGATGAGATATTTTTTGCTTTCCACACTTAGGGTGATATTTAAAATCTCTGTCCTGATTCAGAAGGCCTAAACTTCTTGTAAGATACTCCATTGCTAAGATAAACAAATATGGGGAAAGAGGGTCTCCTTGTCTTAGACCTCTTGCACCTTTGAAATACCCATGTAAAGATCCATTGAGAGATATGGAATATCTAGGGGTAGAAATGCATGTCATGATTCTGTTAACCATTTCATTAGGAAACCCCAGTCCTTGAAGAATATCTTTAATAAAATTCCAGCTAACAGTGTCAAAAGCCTTCCTTATATCAATGTTGATCATTACTCTAGGGGAGATGTGCTTTCTACTATAGTTTTTGACCAATTCATGAGCTAATAGGATATTATTTGTAATATGCCTACCCTTAACAAAAGCACACTGAGCATCACTAATAATATATCCCATAACAGATTGTAATCTGTTTGCCAAGATTTTTGAAATGACTTTATATATACAATTGCAGCATGAAATAGGTCTGAAGTCAGAGGGAGTGTTTGGGCATTGTACCTTAGGTATCAAAGTGATTGAAGTTGAGTTAACAGCCCCAAGTAGCTTTCTAGTAGTGAAGAACTCTTCAACAGCTAGTGTAAGCTCATCTCCTATAACAGACCATGCTGACTTGAAGAAAGAAGCTCCATAGCCATCTGGACCTGGAGATTTATTATTAGCCATAGAGAAAACAGCTCTCTTAATTTCATCTTTTGAGATTGGGGCTGAGAGATCCTTGATGTGGTTTTCATTTAAACATGGACCGTTTTTTATAATCCTGATATCTGGAGTTGTTGTTTGAACAGAAGTACCCATGAGTTCCCTGAAATAGGTGATGAGTTCATTTGCAATATCCTCACTTTCTGTAATTCTTCCTCCCATGCTGTTGTTGAGAACTAAAACTCTGTTTAGATGCCTATTTGCTTTGATTATTGAGTGGAAATATCTTGTACATCTGTCACCCTTGATACTCCATTGTATTCTTGCTTTTTGCTGATAAAAAGATAGCTCACAATTCAGGAGCTTATTATAAGTAGACAAGCAGCTCTTTTCTTGGTTTATAAGTGCAGAATTAAAGGGATCATCCTGCAACTTCCTTTGAGTATCCTCTAGTGCATTTTGAGCTCTTAGAACTTGCTCACTAATATTAGCATAATGCTTCCTGTTGACTCCTTCAAAGCACTTCTCAAAAGTTTGAGTTTAGAAATAACTGAATACATTTTGAAGCCATCTACTTGTGTTTGCCATATTGAGTTCACTGTGGGCAAGTAATTGTCATGACTTGTCCACATGTTGAAGAACTTAAAAGGCTTTTTTTCTTTTTTCTCCTCTTCATATATTGAGACTAGTGCAGGCGAATGATCTAAAAAGTTTGGAGTTAATAATTCAACATGACTTGAATTATACTCCTGAATCCATGCTTCATTTACAAGAGCCCTGTCTAACCTGCACCAGATTCTGGTATCTTGATCCTGTTTGTTATTCCAAGTAAAAAAATTACCTAAAGTTTTCAGGTGTAATAGTTGACAGTCCTCTATGAAAGAATTAAAATCTTGTGTGTCTGCATCAGTGAGTGCTACTCCACCTATTTTTTCCTCATCATTGATCATGGTGTTGAAATCTCCACAAAGGAGCCATGAAGAATTCCCAGCATTTTGATGGATTTGTATGAGTTCAGACCATAAATTCTTCCTACATTCTTGCTGATTAAAGCCATATACAGAAGATATGATGCAGTTTATCCTTCCATCCATAGATTTTACAGAACAGGTGATATGCTGTGGAGAGCTGTGCTCAATTTGGATGTTGAGAGTGTCAGGATCCCATAGAATTAATATTCTGGCTTTATTGCCTGCTGCATTTGAAAACCATTTCCATCTGCCAGCTATTTTCCTTGCAACTATTGGTATGTTAGCCTCCTTTATTTTTGTTTCAAGTAAAGCTATGAAAGAAACATGATACTGAAAAATATGCTGTTTTGTCAAATGTGCCTTGGGGGATTTGTTCAATCCCCTTACATTCCAAAAGGAAAAGTTCATATCATTTTGCTTGTGCCCCCCTGTCCATAGTGGAGGGGTCCAGATCACATACCATTGCTGACAAGGGAGAGAATGAATTATTTTTACTTTTTCCCCTTTGCATTTGCATCCATGAAGCTTCAGTGTAAGCTGCTTCCTTATTTTTACTGCTTATTGCTAAATCAGGTTGAAAAACATGCACAACATGCACGGGTCTTTTCTCAGCTGAAAAAGAAAAAAAACTTCCTCTTTCTTTTTGCCTCTCTTCTATTTCAACATTTCCAGGCCCTTGCCCAGTTTTGCATACATTCTGAGCATTCTCTTGAATAAGAGCATCCTTTTCACTAAGATATTGCCCAGTTTTGCCTTGAGCATTCTGAATTTGCTGATGCTCCATAAGGGGGCTCTTCATAGATTCTTTGGCAGTGGCATTAGACACCTGAGTATGTAAGATAGGATCCTTCCCAAATTCCACATGTTTAGGATTATGTATTGTAGGATTTTCAGCATCAGGACTTTTCAAAAGATTAGTTTCGACATTTTTACTTGAATGAGAGGTATTTTTAGGGACCCATCTCTGAGTTCTGGCATGTCTTCTACAATATTTAGTATCATGCCCCAATTGCTTGCACAAATCACACCATCTAGGCTTCAATTCATAGTGGATTATTTGATCTATCATTTTTCCATTTGGTCCTTGTATTGATATATGATCAGGTAGCTTAGAAGGCATTTTCACTTCAACAAGTAACCTAGCATATGATAACCTCTGTCTATTAGCAGTGAGCTTGTCTGTGGCAATTGGCTTGTCAATCACACTTGCTATTTTACTCAAGCATTTAGCATTCCACAGATTCAGCCTTAGACCTGGCAACTGTATCCACATAGGATAGGTATTTTTAAAGCTCTTCTCAATTTCATCATCAATAGTCCAATGTTTTAGAAGAATAGGTCTTGAACCAAAGAACCAAGGCCCATTTTCAATAATATCAGTCATTTCTTCATTAGTATTAAATCTGAATAGGAAAAGTCCTGATTTAAGCAATAGGATTTCTGGAGAAGCCAAAGGAGCCCAAGCTTTCTTAATGTAATTTTCCATATCTTTGAATTTTGCATTGAGTCCTAGAACCTGACCTATGAGAGATAGTTTCCATATAGATTCTTCTTCATTC